CGATGCTAACGCTGCTAGCGCCTTGTTGACTTCCGCTGGTGTCACACTGTAAAGCTCCGACAGAAACTGCCTATTTCCGCCTTCTGAACCAACTGTTGAAATGAAAACAGAATAGTAATTTATGCGAGTTGACACTAAACTTAATTACTTGATTAAAAAAAATCCTGTTCTATCGGATTTCACATTTTAACAGCTTAGTTTATCTGCAGCTTGTTGATAAAAACTTGATACTGATTCTACATTAGGAAAATAGAGAGGTGTAGTGGTGTGACAAATTAAAACACGTTCTTGTTGAACTCAGTGCATTTATTTAACCTAGCACATCAGACACGAACTACAATACACCAAAAGCACGTTTTCATCAGGCTTCTTCATCATTATCATCATCCTCGCGCTTTCTACTTGTCTCATGCAAAGTGTCTCTCAAATATAACAGCCAAATTTGGTAACTGAACTTCCCGGACTTGTCTTGTTTTAGATGAGCAGCAGACACGAGCAAAGTGACCAACTTTTTGGCAGAGGTTACATGTAGCTTTAGCAGCTGGACACTGGTGAGAGTTAGCAAGGTGTTTGAACCACACCTAAAGCAGCTTTTAGAAGAAGCTGATGCAGCAGGAGGCGACTTGACAGGTCGAAGAGCAGATTTATTATTCTTTGTAGCTGAATACAAACGAGGCTGTATAGCTTGGACATGTCTGTCGCTGTTAGCTGTTAGTGCTTTAGCTTGGTAAGATGCTGATTCCATTTGCGCTGCAAGAGTAACAGCTTTATCTAATGTCAAATCAGGTTCAAGCAGGAGTCTCTCTCTTGTTCTGGAGTTGAAGATGTGTTCGACCAGTTGATCACGGCTAATTTCCTCTCGTCTTATCATCAAAGTCACATTTTGAAGCCAGGTCACGTAAGGCAGTCACATACTGCTCAACTGTCTCATGCGGTGCTTGTGTTTGCTTTCTGAAAGCCTGCCTTTCTACAACAATGTTGACTTTAAGTGAAAAGTGTTTTTCCAAAGCATCAGTAGCAGAAGAAAACGTCTGATTAACATCTCAAAAGCTCAAATAATATCTCAGCTACAGCCCCAAATCTCAAATGAGTTGAAAGGAAGTTCTGTGGATGCATTCTCATCTACCTGCCAGCTGTGCTCGAGTGCCTGACCACTGAGATCCTGGAACTAACAGGAAACACGGCTCATGACAGCAGAAGGACAGGATCGTCCCTCAGCACCTACAGTTGGCTGTCCGCAGTGATGAGGAGCTCAGCAGACTGCTGGGAGGCGTGGACATCACTCTGGGAGGAGTTCTGCCCAGTATTTAGGCGGTCCTACAGCCCGGGGAACCGAGAAGCCAGCCGAGTCTGGGTGGACGGATCGGACGGCATCTGCAGCCAGTTTCTTAGGATCCACTGTGGGATGGACCTTAACAAGAGATCCTTCCTGCCTACAGCATCAGCATCTATAACATCTCTTAAAGAAATGAGGATAAAGAGTTACAACAACAAATAATTTCCCTTTGGGATTAATAAAGTATTTTTGAATTGAATTTTGCTCAGAGACACCACAACATGTGCAATAACTGGGGATCGAACCCTTCGGGTCCGCAGTTGGCTGTCCTGCCCCTACATCATCTCGGACCCTGATGCAAAATAAATGTTGCAATAAATGCAACAAAATGTTAGCTCTGCATTATTGGCCTTCATCTTTTGAAAGACGAAATGACTCAGCAAAAAATAATCCATCCACATGAACTGACTGAATACTGTTGCAACTTTTATGCGTTGCAATAATTAACATTTTCCATCTGAGAAAATTCACCAAGCGTAACCAGTCTAACAGCAACTGAATTTCAAGAGCCAAATCTAGAATTTCTTCCTAAGTTTCAATTAGTCCTAAACACTCGTTAGTGGTCATCTAAAAACCCTAAAGATTTAAAACCTGCAACCAGAGGCAGGTACAGAAGTGAAATTTAGAATACTTTATACTTCACAAGCCTAAATTAAATGTACAGTTTACAGCAGCCTTTTATTTGTTACAGAAAACAAAGAAAGTTAAATAATTTGTATTTGATTTGTTAAAGTGGTTTATGACATGAAAATGATTAATTACAAAATCAGTTTAATATTTTCTGGAACACTCCCAAGCAAAGTGATCTCAGTTTGGAGAAACAAGAAGATTCCTGATAGAAAAAGAAACATTTTTAGACCAAGAACATCTGAAAAAAAAAAGTTTTTAGTCTAAAACAACTCAAACGTTTTGAAGCAAAACAGATGTGGTTCAACAAAAATGCATAATGTGGATTTTAATATGGAGATGTACACCTCAGAACTTCAGCATCAGGTAATTTTGTTACATTATCTAAGCGTCAGATAGAAACAAAAAATAAAGATAAAAAACTGAACACAATTTAAATATGGGGTTTCTAATCCTGGTCCTTGAGATCCACTATCCTGCATGTTTTACTAATTTCCCTGCTCCAACTCACCTGATTCAATAGATGAATTACCCCCTCATGTTCTGCAGAAACAGCTGATTTAAATCAGGTGTGTTGGAGCAAAGAAAAGTCTGACAGGACGGTGGTCCTCCAGGACTAGGACTAAACACCTCAGATCTTAAATGGCAACAAAAACAATTCATTGACTGCCAATACAAATTCTAAACCAATAAAGAATAAAAGCATTTTCTGTCTAAAGTGAATTTCTCTAAATATCTACTGTCTGCGTCTCTCCATTGGCGCCATCAAGTCCAGAACTGAATTGAAAATCTTACTTCTAACCTACAAAGCTCTCAACAACCTAGCTCCATCTTATATTGGAAATCTTGTTGTTCCATATTGTGCATCTGTTTTTATCAAATCCAGCTGGTTGAAGCAGACGGCCGCTTGACCAGAGCCTGGTTTTGCTAAAGGTTTCTTCCTCATGAGCTTTTCCTTTCCACTGTCGCCTTCATGCTTGTTCAAGATGAGAGTTCTGTGATGGAGTTAAACTCAAAGCTGCTCCTCAGACAAATAATGTTAAATTATTTTAAATATGAATGGTTCTGTTCAGTGTCCTGAGACGACTTCTGTTGTGACTTGGCATTATATAAATAAATTGAATTGGAAAAATAGAGCGTTTAGAATTTAGAAACATTGTTTGGAATATTGCAAGTGTGGGAAGACTTTAAAATGCTTTTATATATATATATATATAAATAAATAAATCCTAAAATAAACTACTACTTAATACTTGAAGTACTATTCCTACTTCGTGGTTTTTCACTTACTGTGGGGCTTCAGGATACAGATCCCCCACGATAAACTAGGGACTATTGTACAAGATTTTTAAAAGTCAGAATAAACTGTGCATGCTCATTCATTTAATTGAAATAATTAAACAAAACAACAGTTTTAGTCTTGTTTTACCTTTCAGACAAACCTTTCCCACTGGTCCAACAATGTTCAGTCAGGTCATCTTGATGATTTTGTTTTTTGCGGAGATGTTTTGTCCTTCATCCAAAGGACTTCATCAGTCCGAGGAGCCACAAACAAACAGAGTCCCACAAGCAGCACACTCCCATAGTGGAAAAAAACTTGTTGGTGATCAGATGGTTTCTGGGGCCTGCCCTCCATAAGGTAAAAGTCAAAACCTTTTATTCAGTGAGTTGTTGTGGTTTTTGAAACTTGTTCTATCACTGTAACTTTTTGCACAGGTCTCACATGAGAAAGGCTTCTCACCTGTGTGAGTTGTCAGAGTCAGAATTCTTGGTCGTTCGCAACACGCGTTTGTTGATTTCTATATTTGGGTATCTTGGTCGACTCACATCTCTCTTTTAAGCTCCATGTGGAAAACTTGGTAAAGAAACTGAAAGTTAAACTGATCCTGTCTAACTCTGAATGTTAGGAAACGCCTTGTATCTGTGACTTTCCTTCCCTCCATTGATTTTGGTGACATTATTTACATGAACGCTCCTACAAGAACCCTGCAGATGTTGGATGCTGCAGATGTTGGATGCTGCAGATGTTGGATGCTGTCTATCATGGTGCACTAAGATTCATAACTGGCTGTGATTATCGTACCCACCACTGCACCCATTATTCACTGGTTAACTGGACATCATTAACTTCACGCAGACTCTCCCACTGGTACATTTTCATCTTTAAATCACTTCTTGGTCTGCTGCCTTCATACATCTCCTCCTACATGTCTCTGTGTGAGTGCAGCTACAGTGTGCGCTCTCAGGACATCATTACCTGCAGTGTTCACTCAGTGAGGACTGAACTAGACAAAAGGGCCTTCTCCTACTCCGCTCCTGTTTCCTGGAACATCTTACAAAAAGATTTGAAGCTCTCGACCTTGACCTCTCTAAGTGGCTTCAAAAATCTGTTGGACTCCTGGCAGAGACCAATGCAGACATGTTCCTGTTTTTAGTTTTATACATTCACCTTATAATCTAGCTGTTTTTGTTACATTTTTTGCATCTTATTTGTAAAAAAAAAAAACAACAACAAAAAAACTATGCCTCTTCAGAATTGTCGATTATTGTTGCTGTTGTCCGTTGTTGTCATCATTCTTGGTTGAAATCAGGTCTCTTGTAAATGAGTCCCCGAGGCTCAATGGGATTAACCTGTCTAAATAAAGGTTGAATGAATGTGGGACATGTGGTAGAACAAAATTATGTTCACAGGGTCCCAGTTACAATAAAATGTAAAAGAAAAACAGTAATAACATCTAAGATATGAACTAAGAAAAATATCAACTAAAAATACACTAAGCATTAATAACATAAAAACATTATGTCAAACAGCAGCACGAACATGAGTCTGTGTGAGTAGATGAACACGCATGAACACAGCAACAAGAAACTGATCAGCAGCAACAAGAAACTGATCAGCAGCAACATGAAACTGATCAGCAGCAACATGATGTGATTTTTCATAGTGATGATCCTGGTTATGGATTCATGAGCCTAACAGCCTCAGGGTAGAAGCTGTTCCTCAGTCTAGTGGTTCTACACTTAATGCTCCTCAACCTCCTTCCTGAGGGGAGTGGGGCAAAAAGTGTGTGTGCTGGGTGAGTGAGGTCCTTCATGATGCAGGTAGCCCTCTTCCTGCATCTGGAGGTGTAGATGTCTGTGATGGTGGGGAGACTGACTCCAGCATCTTCTGTGCAGCCTTCACCACTCTCTGCAAAGCTTTTCTTTCTGCAGCTGTGCAGCCTCCATGCCACACTTTGATGTTGGAGCACAGGATGCTCTCCACTGCACACCTGTAGAAGGAGGTGAGGACTGAGCTTCCCAGACCAGCTCGTCTCAGCCGCCTCAGGAAGTAGAGTCTCTGATGAGCTTTCTTAATCAGGCTGGTGGTGTTGTTGCTCCAGCTGAGGTTGTCATTCATGTGTACACCCAAGTACTTGTAGCTGGAGACCACTTCCACTGCAGATCCTCTTATGTTCATTGGGGGTGTAGGTGTGTTTGTTCCTTCTGAAGTCCACAATCATCTCCTTTGTCTTCTTCACATTGATGTGAAGGTTATTTTCTTTGCACCAGCTCTCCAGGTGTTCCACCTCCTGCCTGTTGCTGGACTCATTGTTTGTGATGCATCCCACCACCACTGCAAACTTTACAATGCGACAGCCTGGATGGGTAGCTGTACAATCATGCGTGAGCAGAGTGAACAGGAGAGGGCTCAACACACATCCCTGAGGAGAGCTAATGCTGAGGGTTATGGTAGAGGAGAAGTTGTTGTGGATCCTCACTGACTGTGGTCACTTTGTTAAGAAGTCTAGTACCCAGTTGCAAATGGAGGGACTTAGTCCTAGTGTGAATAGTTTGTCCATCAGGGTTTGGGGGATCATGGTGTTGAAGACAGACATGAAGTCCCCAAATAGGAACATACGGATGTAAGAATCTTTCTGCTCCAGGTGGTTGAGCGCAGTGTGGAGATGGCATCCTCTGTAGATCGGTTCTCGCGGTATGGGTCTTTGGGGCATTGTTCGCTCCTTCCTTTATAATCTGCTATGCACTTAATGCCCCTCCACATGCTCCGAGGGTCATGTGGTATTTTAAATTGTGTTTATCACTGTAACTTCTTCCACAGGTCTCACATGAGAAAGGCTTCTCACCTGTGTGAGTTCTCATGTGTCTGATTAAATTACAGTTTTTATGAAAACCTTTTCCACAGGTCTGACATGAGAAAGTATTCTCACCTGTGTGAGTTTTCATGTGTATGTTTAAATCAAATTTCTGATTAAAACTTTTTCCACAGGTCTGACATGAGAAAGGCTTCTCAACTTTGTGAGTTGTCATGTGTCTGACTATAGCAAATTTCTGATTAAACCTTTTGCCACAGGTCTCACATGAGAATGGCTTCTCACCAGTGTGAGTTGTAATATGGTATTTTAAACTATTTCTACCACAGTATCTTTTACCACAAGTCTCACATGAGAATGGCTTTTCACCTGTGTGAGTTGTCATGTGGCATTTTAAACTTTTTCTATCACAGTATCTTTTTCCACAGGTTTCACATGAGAAAGGTTTCTCACCAGTGTGAGTTGTCATGTGGTATTTTAAACTTTTTCTATGACAGTATCTTTTTCCACAGGTCTGACATGAGAAAGGTTTCTCACCTGTGTGATTTCTCATGTGAACTGTTAAATTATATTTGCTTTTGAATTTTTTTCCACAAGTCATACACAATAAAGGCATTGTTTGGTCTATCTTTAGGTTTGGACGGTCCACATCATCACCATATCCTCCTGTTTGTAGATTTGTCTTATTTTGTTTCGGCTCTTCATCTCTGCAGGATCCTGGCTCTACATTCCTGCTTCTTTCCTGATCTTGGGACTCCACTTTAGGAGCGTTTTGTGAAAGGAGTTGGTCCCTGTTCGGTTCCAGTTCCCTGTGGTTTCTTTCATTAAAATCAGGAGTTACCATAAAGTTTTCAGTCTCCGGCTCCTCTTTTATCTCTAGAAATTCTGGTTCATCC